ATACTTTACTCAACTTGTAATGCTGTTCAATATACTGTATATATACAACACTATAATAAATAATGGAATCTAACCTGTGGTTGTTGAAGTGTCTTGTGTTGCCTTTTAGCACAAATGATCAATTCTTGTTTATTTCATGTCAGCCTGATGCAAGGCAGCAACAATATACAGCATGTAGCCATACACTGACCTGAAACCACACTGTGCTGGTTTGGTGCACAACAGTCAGAACACGTGTTGACACAACTTTGTCCTTAATTAGCATTAGATTACAGAGAGAGACAGAAAACACAACGCATTTTTAAAGTTCAAGTTCAGTTTATTTATATAGCGCTAAGTCACAACATACGTCGTCTCAGGACACTGTACATAAAATAACAATCTAAGGAAGAAACCAGCAGGCTGTGTTAAATCACTTCATCACAGTCTCCCATCCTGAGCAAACGGTGGAGAGGAAAAACTCCCTGCTGATCAGGAAGAAACCTCCAGCAGAACCAGGCTCAGGACAGGAGACCATCTGCCTCGACCGGCTGGTTGGAGGACAGGAAAGAGACACAGACGAACACAGAAGAACTGGTCCAGGACTGGTCCAGGTGCACCTTCTTCTGGAAGAGACAAAGAAAAAACATGATCGAAATAATTACAATAAACATGTAGAGAAAAGAGACTAAAGACAACAGCAGAGTGAGGAAATGTGCTCAGTTTGTGCTCAGCAGTCTAAGTCTATAGCAGCAGAAATGAAGAATAATTCAGGAAACCTAAGTCTAACTATAGGATTTATCAAAAAGGAAAGTCTTCAGTCTAATCTTAAAAGTAGACAGAGTGTCAGCTTCACAGACAGAAACTGGAAGTTGGTTCCACAAGAGAGGAGCTTGAAAACTGAAAGCTCTGCCTCCCATTGTACTTTTAGAAACTTGAGGAACCATAAGTAAACCTGCAGTCTGAGAGCGAAGTGCTCTGTTAGGAAAGTATGGAACAATAAGATGTTTAATATATGATGGAGTTTGGTTGTTAAGAGCTTTGTATGTTAGGAGTAATATTTCAAATTCTATTCTGAATTTAACAGGGAGCCAGTGGAGAGAAGCTAAAACTGGAGAAATATGATCTCTCCTTCCAACTCTCATTAAAACTCTAGCAGCAGCATTTTGGATTAACTGAAGACTTCTTAAAGAGTTTTTTGGATGTCCAGATAATAAAGAATTAAAGTAATCCAGTCTAGACGTGATAAATGCATGAATCAGTTTTTCTGCATCATTTTTGGACAAAATATTTCTGATTTTAGTGATATTACGCAGGTGGAAGAAGGCGGTCCGGGTAACATTTTTAATGTGGGGATTAAAAGACATATCCTGATCAAAAATAACACCAAGTTTCTTTACATTAGAACTGGAGGCCAGATTAATGCCATCCAGAGGACAGATTTATATCTTTTCATTGTTTTGGTTCAACATTTAACAAAGAGATGCACACATACTTGTACTCGTGGTGTAAACACTGTTTTGTTTGTGTATTTTCTCTCATTGCTCCCCGCCCTGTCTTAAAACATGCTTTGAAGATTTCCTGGAAGTGACTTGCTTTAAACAGAAATTGTGTTGTTTTGAATTTAACCAGATGCCATTGCAATTTATTTAACTTTAATAAAAAAGTGTGTTTTTGTGCTCCCAAAACACAACTTTACGWTTTATCCTGATTGCTTTCTTTTGTAGCTTTTTACTGTAAGTGATTATTGGCTGCTTTTGCATTACCTCAAATTTCTACACAGTGAGACAGATATGGTACAAGTGATGAATGRAGAATCCACAGAATCCAGGATGAATTGGTCTTTTCACAGTATTGTACAATCTTTTTCTAATTTTCATAAAATAGGGGTATTAAGCAAAATAGACTTTTTTGAGCTTTACATCATGTTATAATTTTGATCCCTCATCAAAAACATACCCAGAGTGTTGCTTTGACTYAGTCATCCATTTTGTATTGTGAACACATGCTGAAGTGGGAGTGTCAGAAATGGTAGGAGATTCTTAAAGTGACTGAGGTCAATTTCAAGATGTTTAGATAGACTGTGATGTGAAATCAAATTATTTTTGACATATAGGGTATTTTCATAACAACTGAAGGCAACATAGTTATTTGATTGTGGTGTAGAACTGAACTATGTGCCTGGAAAATACATAATCCCCCCTTTTAATCTGGGAAAATAAGTACAGAACAACTCAGTCTGTCTGCCAATGACTTGATTTAATATCAAAACAGATTTAAAATCAGAAAACAATGATTGCTTTTTAAATAATTTATTTTAAATTAGATTCCAAATCAGAAAAAAGAACTGCTGGATGTTGAACCCCTGATAATATTAGTTAAATAGATCAGGTTTAAAACAGTTTAACCTATGACACGTGTTTTTGGTCGTTGGTTGGAAATCCGAGAAGCTTGGGAAAAACATGCAAACACACAAAAAGCCTCATTGAGAGGTGGCAGCATCAATCACTGCTGCACTGTGCTGTTCCCTTTAAAAACTTTTAAAAAACCATGCTTGGCTTAAATCACACAGATTTACTAGCCTGGTTTTCCAACTTCTTGTCCTGACATGAAAACAGCAYTGTCACATCACTGTTGACACTGATATAGTGCAATGCTTTGCAGGGTAGTTGCAGAAACAGACTCTTGTGTAAATCTGCATGCTAAACGGCACACGTATCACATAAATGAGTGACATTCGAAACAAATATTTCATGCAAAAGGACACGGTCATCACAAGGGTTGTTCTGGCTTGGCAATTCTGCACGCCTGATTCAAATAATGAAATTACCCAGAATGTTATCAAGTTTATCAGAGGCCTGTCAATCACGTATTCATTTCAGTCAGGTGAGTTGAAGCAAGGAGACAACTAAAACAGAGGGTTACGAAGAACAGTATTGAAGATCTACTGGATTAAGTTCTTTATCCAAAAATTGGGCAGCCGCAGCAATCAGCAATCTAAGACGGCATTGCAATCAGAGCAGCATTGATACCTACTTCCCAGATTGTTATCTAATTATTTTCATAAAAAGAGCTCCAGAACCAGAAAATGCTTTCCAAGCCAGGGCAGAAATGATAACAGCAAATCCAAACATGATTTGGAACACGTCTCCTCAATCATCYGATAATCCAGACTCTGGGCTTTTGACAGAATACCACAAATGTCTTCACTGGAAAAATGTTTCTGTGAATCAAATTATTTCTAACACAAAATTACTTTGTTAAATTATCAACAAGTCAATATCAATTTATATAACTTTTTTAGAGTAAATACAGCCAATAAATGATTTCTAAATGATTATACAGTACATCTTGGGTTGGTGCTAGCTGCTGCTAACCGCTAACCAGTGATGTGTTGATTTATAACAGACAGCTTCAACGAACTTGAGACGGTGAGTTTTGGGATGAGTAATAACATTTTAGTTCGGTAGTCACAAGATGAGAATTTTTGTTGAGTCATCGTATAGTAAAACATTTAGTCCCATGGCGTGAAATATTTTCAGACTCCTCCTCTATGACCTGCAATTTTACCCTAACCACACGTGTCTGTAATCACGAGGGATTATTATTGCTTCAGTGAGACAACACTTACTGTGGCTGTTTTAACTGCCGAATGTGGAAGTGGTTTCTCCACGTCTGCAGCTCCTTGATGTCTGTTAGAAGCTTCAGCGTGTTTTGATAAGATGATACTTCAGGTGCACATCTGTGGAAAATACCAGTCAAATACTGACTGCTGTCAGACATGTTTGGTTTTAGGCCCAGGGCTCTCAAGTGTTGACCTGAGCTTGGAGTGAGATTTCGAGCCGCTGAGCACTTTTGCCAAAAGTTGCTTCCGGCCGTCCTAAAAGTTGCTAAATAACGTCATCGTCCAATTTGCATATTTGGACTTTTGCCAACAATTGTAATCAGGGCTGTATAGTATTTAATGAAGGAGAAAACTGTGTAAAATCACTGGTGGGGGGTCCGGGGGTTCTCCCCCAGAAAAGTTTGAATGAATTAGATGCCATTTCCTGCATTCTGGTGTATTTTAACAGGTTATTAAACAGACTTTTACACAAGTAAACACTTGGTGAGTATTCTATAGGTCAAGTGGAAGGGGTTCTCAAACATTTTGGGTCTGGAGACCCTTTACAAGAGCGAAAAATTCGAAGGTCCCCTTCGTAAAAGCAATTCATTATAAATTTGAWTTTAATGGTTCAACGCAGTAAAAATAAATTTGAAATCTTAAAAGACACTTGTTCTTTTGCATCAGTGGTTCTCAATATTTCTCTGTCATGCCACCCCCACAAGGAATTTACATTTTTTTCATCCACCCCACCCCCAGACAGCAACTGGTTATTTTTTAAATACAATAACGAACTGTGCGAGCATCCCTTAAATTCTATGGTGGTCAATGCAGGAAAGTGCAAAGAACCCCCGGTCAAGGGGGCCCATTTGAAGGCAATCCTCCTTCTAGCTGCTACCTTTGTCCACTCCTGACTCTCTCTGTGTCAATGGCCTCAGGTGAGATGAGCTTTTCAGCTTTAAAGGTGGTAAAAACGTAGATGAGGTCCACCATGAGCCAAGAGAGGCTCACAGGACTGGCACTCAAGTTAGCTGCGTGGAAAGTGGTGGAAAGCCCACCAGGTCCGTTTTGCCAGGGGCCACCAAAGTGCATTGGGACAGCCCTGTTAGAAAAGTACACCTGATTTTACTGACAAACATGCTGTTTACAAATCATTTTCCTGGAAGATGTGGGTAAACAGAGCTGCTAAACTGTTGACGTTGTGTTTTCACCTCAGAGACCAACCCTGAACCCATCGTCTCATGACTGCCTTCAGCTGCACATGTGAACACACCAAAGTGAAACCACACACAAACACTACATGTTTTGTTTTTGTTCTTCCCAAACCATCTGATGTCAATATGAGCACATGATTCTTTCATATATAAATCCTGCAGCACAACGTTACACCCTCAGCTGTGATCGACCTTTTGATAGATTTTAGTTGGAGAACCAGCAGCTGAATGAAGAAGATGAAACTCTTTGTCCTGCTGACGCTCGGGGCTCTGGTGGTGCTCATTAACGGTAAGATCTTCAAAAAAAACATTAGTCAGAGAGAATGGTCCATTTGTTTAGTTACTGTGAGTGCTTTTACTGAGAAGTATCATATTAAACTGTGTACATTTTTTTGKAAGTACATCTAAACAAACTCTCTGGAAGCTCTGCAAGATGTTCAGTCATATTTTTCTTCACATTTCTGTGAACCACAAATATCCAAGAGTTTCAAGTGAACTAAAATCTGGTTTTGAGACAATTTACAAGTGAATTCATTGGTGATTATCCACAAAAAATGATTAATTTATTATTTTGTGTTTTTCTCTGCTTTTGTGTTTATTTAAAACTGGATGTTATTTTGTTTCAGAATGACTTTAAGTGTTTCAGTTAAAGTGAAATGGAAGGTGATTCATGACAAAAAAGAGGAAACTGAGAGTAATTTCACAAGTTGTTGAATGTGATGAAACATGTTGATAGAAATTTTTCTCAGCATTTGGATAATAAACTTCTATGCAAAGATGGCAATCAGCACTGAAAAACAAAAACGGTGCTTAATGTTTTTTGTCTGCTTCAACTGGTGAAATTCATACTTCGACAGGAATGCCACCAATCAGCAGGGACATCAACACCCAC